AATTACTAATTTGTAGTATGTAAATATTAAATAGTAAATAAATGTGTGAATAGTAAATAATTACTAATTACTAATTACTAGTGCGTAAATATTAAATGATAAATAAATGTGTGAATACTAAATAATTACTAATTACTACTACATTACTAACGTGTAAATATTAAATAGTAAATAAATGTAGTAAATGAATAATTACTAATTACTAATTACTAGTGCATAAATATTAAATAGTAAATAAATGTAGTAAATGAATAATTACTAATTACTAATTACTAGTGTATAAATATTGAATGGTAAATAAATGTATGAATGCTAAATAATTACTAATTACTAATTACTGGTGCATAAATATTGAATGGTAAATAAATGTGTAAACACTAAATAATTACTAATTACTACTACATTACTAACATATAAATATTAAATAGTAAATAAATGTGTAAATACTAAATAATAATACCACGATTAATGCTTAAGATATATTCTTAGAAGATAAGAGGATTCAGCTTATTACCAAAGACTAAATACTGATATTTGTCACGCGAATACAGATAATTATATAAGTTAGTGATTTTTCTAATTTTTGTGCGTTTGTGCTTCAGTCTCTTTTTCAAATAGTTCTCAGCTTACTACCAAAAATCATAAGACTAAATAACTGATGTTTATACGAATTCAGATAATTATGCAGGTTTAGTAATTTTCCGAATTCTTTGTTTCAGTTTACAACGACTTTAAATTAGCAAAACGTTATTTCTTGACACTACGACATCGAAAATTGTATATCATTGATGCATACACAACGACTGATGGTATGATCGGAATGTGCACGTAGGTAAAAGACGCATGCAACTTGACCTGCTTGTCCAACTTACGATCTTGTGACACCGAATTATCACTACAAGTTTGTAAGTTACTTATTACATAAAGAATTGTTATGAATTTATAATGTAATCGCAAACCTCGAATCGTATGACGTAATTATTTAGACATGAAGCACGTTCATATCGAGAAGAATGATCGTTCCCTTACCAGACTATACTAACTTTTTCATCTAAAATGACGAAATGAATGTATTATAGAGAAGGAGAATGACAGAATGACAACTCACTTTGCCAGTGACCACATTGATAGCGAGCACTTTTGGTGGACATTTTCGCACAGGTTCGTCCAAGGTGTTCACAACGCCAGTGTCGAGGACCCAGAGGATGTTCTGAGGATCCAGATAGATGTCTACCACGTTCTGCAGAGCTGTGCAGATTCCTTCCTCCTGCAGGGACCAGCAAGGATAAGGGACCAGGGTAGCTTCGCAGCTTTCGCTGTTGTGAGAGATCTGCGCCAAGGTCGCTGGAATACCAGCCTTGTACCTATATATTCATCAGAATCGATTTATCGTTAATATCTACGATTCGTACAATTATTTTGCTTCCTTTCAAATTGTCAAATCAAATGCAGATTTAGCTGCTTACGCTTAAATCAACTGATTTCATGTCACTGATTTGGTGGCACAAATGGCACAAAAATAAACACCGAACAGTCGTCTTTTTGTCAAGCCAGATTCCTTTTCTCAGTTAATTAATTGTTTTTTTTTTTTTT